TAGAAGAGATGCAGAGACACCCTGTGGTGGCAAAAATAATAGGACCAGAATTAGTTCAAACAGCTTAAAATTCATTTAAGTCACAGAACTGAATCAGGGAATCTGCATCCTGGGGACACAGAGAAATTGTCCCCCAGTTGCTATTCAGGTACTTTCCTCTCTCCAGACCTCCTTTCCTGTCTGGCATCTTTTGCTCTGTTTGCACTGCCACAAAGCTTTTCCTTCTTATTCTGATTGGTATGATACTAACAGCAGGATCAGGGCTGGTGCAGTTGGAGGGGTGGCTATGGAAATGCTCCACTTTGAGAAAATAACTTCCTGCATCTTCAGCCTGCCCCTCTTGGGCAGGAAAACAATCAGTCTGCTTTGTAAACTGTTGGGTTTTTACCTCATCCACAGTTTGTATTTTGTCCTGGAGCAAAATTTTGTGTATGAAGGCAGTTCCAGAGCCACCAAAGGACTGTTGAGGATGTTCAAGAATGAAAGCCACCAACAACCATCATCAGTGGAAATCAATTCTGGCATCTGGAGTCTTGCAGATGCTAGAGCTTGCTTATAATTATCTAGGGACCACCTGGAGACAGAGCACTGAAATTCAAAGGCTCCTGAAAATGTTCTGTACTGCTGTAACATGATCTTCACCTGACAGAAAGGTATTTTTCTCACAGATCTGCAAGTAGGATCCCCATTCAGAAGAGTCATCATGCCCTTATAATAGAGTAAATCCCAGGGCCAGCCACAGTAACACTGGTATTGGTTACTTTGGCTCACAAAACAAAACACCATTAGTGCTAAATAAGAAAGCTGAGACCAGTTAATTGGTTTATAGAAAACAATGGTAATTAAGTTTCACAAGATTTAAGCAGAAAAGAAAAGCAAGGCAAATAAATCAATTGTTCAAATGCTGCATTTTCAAATCTTCTGATCTGGCAATGCATTTAAACAAAGTATAGGAGGAATTCCCCCTAAATCATCAGAACTTATGACACCAGAAACTCAGCATAGCCACACAAATTCATCTTTAAAAGAGAAATTAAATACTATGCATGTCCAAAGTACAATTTTTCAAAAACAATTGTCTAAAAGGGTTAAGAAAATATCCATTCTAAGTATCTTCAATCCTTTGTCACTAAGTTTTACATGGATATTTTCAATGCCTCGTTTTCTTCTCTTGACTTTTTAGACAAGTGGAATTGGTACTGAATGACCCAGCCTTTGCAGCTCACTTCTCGGAAGTAAGGCAGATTCCTGCCTGCCCAACTGCTGAATTTATTAGGCACAGGTGGTCTGTTCTGCAGAGCTTCACCTCAGCACCACTGCATGCCTAAAATGGGTCTTGAATTTGCAGATTTTTTTGTCCCAAATTAAAACCCCAAGTCTGTAATTGTGGGGTGTGTCATTTTCTTTCACTCCAAAGTTCTATTAATTCCTTCACAGCATATTAGTGATAGTTTCCTTTTACAGGTCAGTGAAGTGTTTGTAATTCCTTCCATGAATTGTCTTTTCTGCCATTTCTGTGAGAGATTCCAGCTCCAACTTACCCGGATTCTGTTAAAACCCTGGGTGGCTCATTACCAAGCCTGAGTAGCAAGGTGTGACTCCTTCTGACCCCGTGCTCCTTCAAGGTATTTACAGTTCCTTGCTAATGGATATTCATGGATAATTTTGAAAACTTTGCAGTGTGATCCTGCCAAGCAATTGCACAATGAGGCCCGGTCCCTCCTGCCTGTGTCCCTATGGTAAAAAATGAGTATGGGGAACTCTGCTTAAAAGTCTGGAAGGGGCTGAGGAAGGAGGACAAGAAAAGAGGAAAAGTTTAAAATGGTTGCCAATTTTGCTTTTAAACCTACAAACTTCGTGCGGTTTGTTTTAGAAGATTTGTGGGAAATATTTGTAGCAGGCAGGAAGAAGACAACAGACAGAGGGGGGGGGGAACATGACCCTCCAAGTCAAGCAACCAAAAGTTAACACAATTACCAAATATGAAATGTGGAGCAGAGGGACTAATTTGATCAGAGAGGCCAAAGGGATAATTCTTGGAGACAAAGCATTGCAACGCGGAAATGCAGGCTAATCAACTGCTTTATCAAAAGAAAAAGGAAACAATTTCCAAGCCTTAACTAAAATCCCCAGTTGGTTCTTCATCTTTTCAGGGGTCTGGTTTTTGCCTAGCAGTGTTTGTTCCATCTCACATTTATTTCACTGCTTCTGTTCCCTGCACAAAGCTGTTTCCCTGGCTCCTGGCTCTTTGCTGTGTCAAACAAGCTGCCTCTACTCTTGGTTTAAGGAACTCCTCAATCATGAAAGAGAACAAGCAGAGGGAAATATTCATTATATTTAATGTCCAAGCCTACTTTCCATAATTACGTGGAACAGAGCAAGACTATCCAGAGTCCCTTTGTGCCTGCAGGATTTTGCAGAGCAGGTATTTGATGGCGAGTGATCTCCACCGAGCTCCTGCGTGACCCGGACCCTCTCAGGACTGCAGAGCAGCAGATCCAGACCTCACCAGGTACAGCCCAGCAAAGCAGAGCTTCTGTTTCCAGCTAAGTAGGTGCTGTTGTCACGACAGATAAAATGAGCTGGCACAAAGGGAAGAGGGAACTCACAGAAGAAAGCACAGGAGATGGGAAGCATGGCCGGAAAACGCGAGAGCGGCTGTTCAAGAAGAGATTTTCTCGACTGAGCCTCTTCTCTGGGTCTCCCAAGAATAAATTGTAAGTACATCCAAGATTATATTTTGCATATATTTTCAAACAAAAAAAAATGTGAGTATTTCCAGAGCAGCTTTGGAAGAGCCACAGACACCTTGTTACCGCTGCTGGGTTAACAGTTTCACAAACGAGGAAACAGAGGCTAATTAAACAACTTGAGCTAAAAACCAGTAAGTGACTGGCAGCACTAGAGATGAAATGATCTTCTCCAAGTCTTGTATGTCCATATGTTTATCTTAAACCCATTTCCCTATGCTTCCAGCAAGAGATTAGCAGGGGAGGCATCTCTGTTTCTCCAGGTACACACCAGCACTGCCACTGGGACAACCCCACTGCTTACAGCAGAAACTTTGCTGCAGTTTTGTTGCACCACAGCTGTAACTCCAGGGTGCAATGGAAAATGTCAATGCATGGGCAGCAAAGTTAATGATACTAAGTCAACAAAGTTAATGATACTAAGTTTCTTAAATTCATAATTAATGCTTGTGTTCCTGCAATAGTTTCTGTATACTTACTCTTTTCAGTTAGATAAAGGGAAACAAAACAAAAAGATAAACAACAACAAAAAAAAAAATATTCGTTTTTTTAACCGAAGTAAGCAGAGGCAAAAATTATTTTGAGCTCATTGCTTTGTGAACGTATTACTTTTGAGTTGTTGTAATTCTTATGGGATTTGAAATTCTCTTCTTGGGTCTTTCTCCCTGGTATTATTCTTCCTTAACATCAAGTAAACTGAATATAGGCTAAGATCAGGAGGGGTTTCCAAAAAGTGTCTTTTCTCATCCAAGAGCTGTTTTCCCTACAGATCTCCCAAAAGGAGTCTGTCTTTGGTAATTATCATGAAATTACCGTCTTAGCAGGAAGTGCACGCAAGTCTCCACAATTACTCAGCTAACTGCATTAGGCTTGATAGCCACAGCAGCTGGTTGCAGGCTCCACAGAAGATGAAAATATACTACCAAGAAATGAACCTGAGAGCCAAATTTTTCCCCTCAGACTGATCTAATTGCAGCACAACTAATACCAAGGGCTTGGTTTGGGGATTTTTCTTGCTGCACTGCTGAGGATGGGAACTAAAAAGGTAGTCAAAAATCCAAGAAGTGAATTCCTGCTGCAAACGTTCTCTGTTGTTCATAATTTCACTGAAGAGTGTATTCAGGAGGCACTCCTGTAACAGTAAAATCATGTTTTCTGAACACTGATCCTTATTTGTAAGTGATAAATATGAATTTTCCCCAGTTTGAGCTAAAAGGGAAAAAAATTAAAAATTTATAAGTAATCTAGTAACCTCCCATGGTACTCTCACATTAATGGAGAGAGAGTCAACCTTCAGACTAGACTGGATCTATTTCTACAGATACTGCAGGGCAGGGGTTTTCAAATGCATTTGAGCCACCAGGGCTCACAGAACTTTCACAGTGGTGTAGCCAAACCAGATCATCTGTACAGTGAGCCCTGACTGATGAGCTCTGTAAGGGGCTGTGTAGGTAAAACAGAAGGGTCTATCATTTGATCAGGAGAGCTTTCCTTTCAGCTCCTCCATCTCTGGTCAAGGCCAGTGCAATGCTGGCCAGCATTGATGTGCATTGCTGGTGCCCACAAGTGGGACAAGAACCTTTGTGATGATGTAGGGGAGCACTGGGTCAGACACACAGAGCTCTGCGAGTTTGCATGCAAGCACACGAGGCTTGGGCCACAATCATGCACAGAAAAGCTGCAAATTGAAGCTCCTGCCCTGTTAGTTGACACCACTCTTGCATGGTTTGGTTTAATGATGAGAACTCTTTAATAATTCTGTGCTCTGAAACTAATGGCTTGTCACTGCCACCACAGCACCAGAGCCAGACTCTGCTTTTTGCATCCATCCCTGTTTCTTCAGGTGGCCACACTTGGCACCCACTCGTAGCATGTCACAGGTACAGCCTCTGGAAGGGTCCACAAATCACTCACTGATCACTGCCCTCCTCCACCCAGGAGTGAGCTTGTCACCTCTCTGTGCCTGTCACCTCTCTCTGTCCCCATTCCAGCCTGTCACCTCTCTCTGTCCCTGTCACCTCTCTCTGTCCCTGTCACCTCTCTCTGTCCCTGTCACCCCTCCCTATCCCTGTCACCTCTCTCTGTCCCTGTC